ACGTCAAACATTAGAGGAAAATATTAGATATAAATCCTAGTCTCACCCGTCTCCCCGCCCAATCAATTAAAAAAGCGCCAACAAAGCCAGACGTAATGGTCACTAACGTGAAGATTACGCTGCATATAGTTGATGACATTGAGGGTACAGCCTCGGCGAAGAGAGGCTGCGCGTACACTTGCGCCACCATCAGACCTTGGAATATCGCCATCGTGTTTAACACTACTATCATGAAGAGAGCTCGTCGGGTCGACCTGGATTTTTCTGTTAAGGAAATAAAATAAAAAACATTAACGTGGTAAATCCATGCAGCAGCTATATTATGACTGTGGTAAATAGCAGAAGTGTAGAGAAATGGAGACACTTTTACTGGTAACGAGGCATTCCACCTTAGTTTTCTGTATTGACAAAGCATCTGCATTTTGATTTTTGATAAAGGATAGATGTAGATGTCTATAGGCCACAGCATATACTTACCATCAAGTGGTCTTTGCGCTCACTTGTCACCTTAATTAAAAAATACAACCGCATTGTTATACATTTTAGGCGTGCTCAATATACGCTTCAATCACGGCACAGATTTTGGCAAATGGAATTACAGTCAAGTTTTAATAATCACTCGGATTATTGTTTTGAAGGATTTGGTTGGACAAAATAAAATATTGAATAAAACTATTATTTACGGATTTTATCGCGTTTTTAATTACAACTTTAATTTATTTAAATTATCCCGACTTTTCGGGTGCTTTACAGCACCCATGATCACGGGGGGGGGACTGAGATGTTTGACGTCCCAATGTCGTAGTTAGTCCGGCTACCTTCAGTTTTGTGAATATTAATTTTTGGTCCGATTTACGCAAAACGAGGTTATAGTATCATGTCTATCAAGTCTTGCAGTGGTATGCTTGGGTTTGGTTTAATTTTGTTAATCATAGGATCCCAAGCAGATGGCAGCACCCATCCATCTTCTCTATTGAAATTTGTTTTTTAATTTCAATAGCCTCGCGTATCATCCTTGGTAGGAATTGGTGTTCTTTTGCGAGGATTTGTGGTTTATCAAGTCTAATGTAATGGTGGGGACGATCTTAAACATTTTCACAGACTGCAGACTTCCCGTAGCGTCGATTCTTCACATCAGCTATATGTTCTTTAACGCGGGTTCTAATTGATCTTTTAGTTAGACTTATGTAAGAGAGACCACATTCATAATCAAGCTTGTTTAGGTACTCCTGCATGTTGCAGAGGGACACTACACTTGACTGGTGGTAAAAACTTGGTAGCCAATCTTGTCAGTGACTCCTCTGACTAATGGTGGTACAGCGGGTACATAGAAGTGTGTAGATCGGAACAAAAATTATCGTCGGTGCTTCACGTCAGCTATATGTTCTTTCACGCGGGTTTTCACAATCTAAGTTGTAAACTCCTGCATCTTGTAGAGGGATATTAACACTTGACGGATGGTAAAAATTTACTAATGTTCTTCGGCGTCTTGTAGTATGTTTTAATGGAAGCTCATTAAAAAATATGTAAAAGTAATTAATTAAACGCGATAGAATCCGTAAATTTAGTTTTATTCAATGTGTAGTGTTCGCGTAAATTTAAAAAATCTTTATGTATCAACTTTCTCTGACGAAAAGTCACGAAAATATACTAAATTTACAGCCGGAAAGCAATACCAAATGAAGCTAAAAACTAGCGCCAGCGTTTTTCCCAGACTAATGAATATAGCTATGGCAGGACTCAGTTATGATAAATGTATCATTTATTTAGATCACTGTGTCGTAATGGGGAAGTCAGCTTCCCACTATAACAAAAATCTCATCGATGTATTAAATAGTGTTACGCGCCTTAGTCGACGGCACTAGCGCCATCCAGTCTCGAACCGAAGAACTAAACTTTTAGAAGTTGAAACTCGAACTCTCGGTACCTTGCGCGTGTTTAATTGAGTATTCTGGATATTTCGGTGCTAATTTATATTTATAGGCGCTGCAAGACGCGATCGGTGAAGTATTGAATTCGGCGAGACAAGCGAAGCTTCGGAGCGAAATAAAGTGAATTAGTGTGATTAATTAATAGTGTATTAAGTTTTAATTTGTGTAAAGAAAATTAAAGTGTTAATTTAGGTAATTTTATCGGCAATTTTTATTGTCACGAACCGCAAGCTCGTAACAAGTGGTGTCAGAAGTGGGATAAAATCATGCCGATTTTACCTAAGGAGGAAACGGAGGGTGTCCGTACCCGAAGTCAACGCCAGCAGGAGACGGACCAGAGAAGATTTGGTGGTGCAACGCCGCAGACGTCGGAGGGCCAGTCGCCGGCTGCAGGCCCGTCAGTAGCTCCTACATCTGCAGCACCCGACTTAGGTGCTCTGATGTCAACTAACGTCAACGTCAACAACCTCCTGTTAACGAGCCTGCTCCTGCAGCATCACTGCAGGAGCAGGCTCGTTGACAGGAGGAACAAGTCCGTCAGTTGAAAGAGCAGCTGCAGAGCGGACAAGAGGAACAAGTCCGTCGTTTGGAAGAGCAGTTGCGGGGCGCACAGGAGGAACAAGCCCGCCGATAGGAGGAACAGGCTCGCCGACAGGAGGAACAGGCCCGCCGAAAGGAGGAACAGGCCCGACGGTTGGAAGATCAGCAGGCGGAACAGGTTCGTCGGTCGGAAGAGCAGATGCTCCTCATGAAGGACCTTCACGCTACCCTTGGGAAAGAGATAAGGGAGGTGAAGGATAGGGTTGCTCAACATGACAACCGCCTGTCGGAAGCTGAAACCCGAATCGAAGAACATGAAACCCGAATCAACCATGTGAACAATCGGGTTGACAACGTGATGGCCGACGTGAAGAAAACTCTGAACGACCTCAAACTTGGGGATGGAACTACAGCTCCCGTAGTAGCTACAGCACCTTCGCTACGTGGATTCAAAGTGCCACCGTTCGACGGGACTTCTTCCTGGTCGGCCTACATAATCCAGTTCGAGGCCGTCATGGAGGCAAACGGCTGGAATAAAAGCCAGGCCATGACTGCACTCACCTTAGGCCTGCGCGACCAAGCCTTAACTGTGTTGGAAGCTCTCGGTAAGAAGGTGACCTATGAGCAGCTCCTTGAGGCATTGGAGGCGAGATATGGTGACGCTCACCTGGAACACGTCTTTCGCGCGCAGCTTAAAGATCGTGTGCAACGCAGCAACGAAAACCTTCAGCTGTGGGCCCTTGAGGTGGAGAAGATGGTTCGGAAAGCATACCGGTCTGTACCTGCGCTCATTGAAGGGAACCTGGTGCAGACATTCATCGACGGCATCCGCGACCTGGAAGTCAGAGCTGCTGTAGGGCTCGGGCACCACGAGACGCTTAAGGACGCCTTGGCCCATGCACTGGAGGTAGAAGCCGTGCGACAGGATCATCGTTCCCATCGCGTCAGGGAGGTTGCAGCAGCTACAGTTCGCAACTGCAACAATGGATACAGCCCTAGGTGCTATGGCTGTAGGGAAAAGGGCCATCTTCGCTCCAGCTGCCCTAAGCGAACCGTGGGAAGGAGAGTTGATCGCTCTCGAGAGGGTAGTGCCGCTAACGGCACAGCCAGGCGGCGGCAGGATCGTCGTTCCCCTCGCGCTAGGGAGGTTGCAGCAGTTACGGTTCGCGACCACAATAAGGGATACAGCCCTAGGTGCTATGGTTGTGGGGAAAGGGGCCATCTTCAATCCAGCTGCCCTAAGCGAACCCTAGAAAGGGAAGGTGAACGATCTCAGAAGGGAAGTGCGGCTAACATCACCACCCAGCAGCAGCCGGGATACAACTTTACTATCAGACATCGCAGCGGGAAATCTCATGGCAATGCAGATGCATTGTCAAGAAGACCTTGTCTTGACGATTGGAAACATTGTACTAGGTAAGAGAGTAAGGAAGTGGTACCCGTGAGGATGCTCAGGACAGACCACCTCAGCAACAAGTGGAGGGACAGCCTACGACATGCACAGCAGGAAGATCCGGACATCAAGCCGATTCTAGAATGGATGAAGGCCCGTGCTACCAAGCCTAAGTGGAGCGACGTCTCAGCAATGAGTTAAACCACGAAAAGCTATTGAGCCCAATGGGACAGCTTGCTGATTCAGGATGGAGTCCTGTGCCGTAAATGGGACAATGGTCGAGGAGACAGCTGTCGTTTGCAAATGGTTGTCCCTAAAGCTAAAGTGCCGAATGTTCTACAGCTGTGCCATAATGGTCGTTCAAGAGTCCATCTGGGAGTTAAACGAACTCTACTGAAGGTCAGAGAACAGTTTTACTGGGTCCATTATCGTGACGATGTCGTGGATTGGTGTCGTACATGTACAAGTTATGCGGCTGTGAGGGGACCTCAGACACGTAGTAGAGGAGCATCGAAATTGTACAATGTTGGTGCACCATGGGATAGGACAGCCCTTGACATTACAGAGCCGTTACAGAAAGGCGCAAGAAGGACTCCTAAGATCGCCCATGTGGATCGCCTGGCACGATATTATGGGGCCGATAATGCTCGGGACGAGCATGTCTTAGGAGGGGGCAGTGTTACGCGCCTTATTCGACGGCACTAGCGCCATCTAGTCTCGAACCGAAGAACTAAACTTCTAGAAGTTGAAACTCGAACTCTCGGTACCTTGCGCGTGTTTATTGGATATTTCTGGATATTTCGGTGCTAATTTATATTTATAGGCGCTGCAAGATGCGATCGGGGAAGTATTGAATTCGGCGAGACAAGCGAAGCTTCGGAGCGAAATAAAGTGAATTAGTGTGATTAATTATTAGTGTTTTAAGTTTTAATTAGTGTAAAAGAAAATTAAAGTGTTAATTTAGGTAATTTTATCGGCAATTTTTATTGTCATGAACCGCAAGCTCGTAACAATAGGTTGACAAAAGTAAAACTTAAATTAAACCTGTTTTTTTTTTTGCATTTGTGGTTTATCAAATCTAATGTAATGGTGGGGACGATCTTGAACATGTTCGCAGAAACATCGGACATGTACGATTACTTACTTAAAAATTGCCACCAGGAAACTTTAGGGTTTTCCTTCAAATCAGGCTTTAGTTTCTCTTCTTCAGGCGTAATATCTGTAAATTAAATTTAATCATTAGATATTTTTTAGCTATTTCAAAAAAAGCAGAAGGAGGAGGTTTTGTATGTTTTTCGTACGCATATTTCGCGAAACTTTCGTTAATTTTGGACTGATTTTAATGATCTCTTTTTATTCTTCTTCTTCAGGTGCCTCTTCAGGCAGGCAGGCAGTAGTAGCAGCTTAGTGAATTCCACTCTATTCTTCGCGAGGCAAATCGGTTTTTATTTATTATATTTATTTTAATCTTTTTTTATGAAATAGATTTATAAAAGTTAATTACTGAAAACAAATCAAGAGATTTTCAGTAGCATCTTTCTAATGACTAAAAATAAAAGCTGCAGTGACCATTCCGCCGCCAAGCGCGACAACTGCGGCAAATGTCCCCCCGTTTGAGTCAATCTATGGGGTAAGCCTTTGTTCCGTACTGAACTTTAATATTCCGTAACGGTATCGGTATTGGCAGTCTGAGCTTACCTTACCAAAATCTGGGATATGTTTCAAGGGTAGTTTTTAATCAATTTAGAAAAAAAATCCTGATATTTTTACAGCATATGCTGCAGAACTAAGTTTGCTTGCTAGTATTCAAATATAGGGGCCCCATTGAAGCTTCGCATCTAGTGTTATTCTAAGAAAATTGATAAATAGGAGTGACCCCAGTATTGGCCCTGTTGTACACCAAATGTAACTACAACAGGTAATACGTACGTACAGTCACCTGATGGTAATTAGCTACTGCAGCCCGCGGATTCCATCACACAACTTCAAAAGAAGAAGGTTAAGAATGCCTCACAGCTTGTATTATGCTGGCTCTTTATAAATTTCAGATCGGAATGGTAGACAAAAAGAAATTCTATCACCTAGAAAACTTATTTACAAATCGGGTGGTTAGTCCTACGTCCAAATGTTTGAAATGACTATGTGTACTAATTGATATTTTCAAATACAACGGCAATTTTTTTTTACGATAGCTACCACACAAATCCGGATTAAGCGCCCTTCGAAGCACTTGCAATTCTTCTTTAACCAGCTTAGAATTAATAGACGTGCCTCTGTAGAATGCAATTACTCGTGCAGCCTCCTGTAAATAGAAGAGATGATAACATATGCGTGTAAGTCCACCATTCGATGTTGGTATAAGGGACAGTGGCAATTTTAGGGCAGAACAACATGAGTGATTACTCGAAACGTCAGCCAAATGGGTCACGTGTCCATTCGGTGCCTTGACTCACGAATGAATCTGATATCACAGCCAACTTAGATTAATCTAAAAATTGAGTCTGGACCTGACCTGACCGGATGGTATTTCGGCAAAAACACTTTAAGCTATAAAATATTACATTGTTATCTCACTAACAAGGCTCTTTAACCAGTGTTTAAAAGACGGTAAATTTCCTGACGCTTTTAAGAAATCAATTGTACTGCCTATCCTCAAGGGAAAAGATACAGTATCAATAACTATCGCCCCATATCAATACTTTCCACTTTATCAAAAATCTTTGAAAAATTAATAAATAAATGACTTTTAGAATACCTAGAAACAAATAAATTACTGTCTGAAAATCAATTTGGTTTTAGAAAATATAAATCTGCAGAAGAGCGGCAAGATTATTTGTGGATTTCGTTGCTAAAAACCTAGATTCTCATTCTAAAATCTTAACTATATTTTTGGATCTTGCGAAAGCGTTTGATACAGTCTCTTTTCTCGAACTTTTTAGCAATTGTAGAGAAATTAGGCATCAGAGGTACTCAACTCCAATTGCTTAGCAACTACTTACACAATCGCACTCAGTGCACCAAAGTTAACAATATTTTGAGTGACGATTATAGTATTAGACGTGGAATTCCTCAAGGCAGTGCTCTGGGCCCTACCCTCTTTTTGTGCTATATTAATAACCTCTGTCAAATTAATATTCTTAATTGCAAGGTTATGTGCTATACTGATGACACCGCACTTATATTTTATGGTCAATCTTGGAAAGAAGTTTATTCTGTAGCACAAACTGGCCTAAATACAGTACAGCAATGGCTATATACACATTTTCTATCTTTAAAAGCAACTAAAACTAAATACATTCCCTTTTGTATCAGCGCACCAGCATTAAAAGGCCAGGAGAACTTAAACTTATATGTTCATGATTGCTATATACCACCTCTTAGCTCATGTACGTGTCGTTCTCTTGAAAAGGTAACAAACACCAAATACTTAGGTGTTATAATAGACCAGAGACTCTCCTTCGAAGAGCATTTAAACCACATTTCATCCAGAGTCCGTAAACTAACATATATTTTTAAGCAGCTTCGTCATCTTGCTGATGTCAGTATCATAAAATTCGTTTGTACTGCCTTATGTCAGTCTATTATTAACTATAGCATGACGTCTTGGGAGGGGGGTGCAGCAAGAATCCATATGATGGGGTTAGAACGTGCACAAAGACTTATACTTAAAATATCTTATAAAAAACAGAGATTATTTCCAACAAACGAACTCTACAAATTATGTGACTTGCTCACCGTACGTCAGCTCTATATTCTTGCGACAATATTATAAAACCACTCAAAAACGGAATATAATAAATCCAATCCTATATTAAACAAAAGACTTTCGCATCATGTATGCACTGTACCGGTTACCATTTTATTATTTGCTCGAAGATTTTTCAATTACAGAGGTCCAGTCCTATATAATCTAGCAAACAAATTATTAAATATATATCCGTTAAATAAGAGAGAGACAAAAAATTCTTTAACTAAATGGCTTAAATCATTAGACTACGAACAGACAGAAAAACTATTTGAACGTATTGTTTAAATATATATTACACACTTACACACCACACACATACATATTAATATCACTTAATAGACCTACCTACCTTTATTAGTATTTAAAACAGGTTTTTTTCTTTTTTATGTACACCGAAAATATTTTAAAATTTTTTAAACAGTTTCTCCAACAACGTTTGAACAAGTCTATTTTAATGTACTTTTGTTTACAAGTAGTTGTAATGTTTATTAAGAGTTACAGCAATATCACTTCTGTTGACGGAGAGGCCTGGTGATCCCATAGCATAGGGCAACCTAGTTTGGGCACCAGTCTCCTACCTAGATCTTATTTAGTTAGTATTTATAGCTGTTATTTAGTTGTAAAAGTTTACTATTATTTGTTGTATTGTAATATACCGATAATATGTAGGAGAAAATAAATACTACTTATTATTATTGTGGTATTAGTAGTGTATTCTCATCTGGTTGCTCTGAATAAATATATAAAAGGAAATGATAAATATACATAAATATATATTTCATATACCTGCACAAATAAATAAATAAAAAACCCAACCAGATGGAGGCCCTTGGCAGGGTAGACCAAAAGGCCGAGGGTTAGGGGGAAAGTGAGAGAAACCGGCGGACGATGCGGGCGGTATCGAGGAGGTGCTCCTCGATACCGCCCGCATCGTCTTCGTGCTTCGTGCCTTCTGCATTTGAGCCTGGAGTGGTCCGTCACGGAGTCCCAGCCTCCTCAGATGACCCGAGAGGCTGACTAGGATTAGCCCGTTTGCAGAAATGACTACAGGAATAATTTCAGTCGACAGACCACCCCACATGTCGGTCACCTCGTGAGCCAGGTCCAGATATTTTGTTCGTTTATATGTTTCGGCTTTCACGAGGTTCTCGTCATACGGAATGGTAATGTCGACCAAAAATATCCTTGACTGTGTCCAGTCCATCAACACAATATCAGGCTTATTCGCAAGAATAGTCCTATCTGTGATGATGGCCTGGTCCCAGTAGAGCCTGGCGCGATCATTTTCGAGCACGGCTTCTGGCAAGTTCTTGTAATACGGCAATTTCCGGTCCACGAGACCGTATTTCAGAGCGAGCTTCCGGTGAAGAATTCTGGCTACTAGGTTGTGCCTGTGCAAGTACTCAGAGTTAGAAAGCGCCGAACAACCGGAGATGACATGCCTAAGTGACTCACCGGGATGGCGACAAGCTCGACAGATGTCGACGGTGCCATCCTTTAGGATGTATCTCCGATAGTTGTTGTTTTTAATAACCTGGTATCCTGTATTGCACAGACAAAACCCTCGGTTTCCCTGAAGAGGTCACCAAAGCGTAGCCAGTGGAGGGAGGCTACTGCGTCTACGAAAGGCTCATGTATAGAGCCTTGTAGAACCTCCCGTGGAGCTCCTTCTCCTTCCATACGGTCTCCCGGTCGGAAATGCTCTGCACTGCCGGGTCTTGCCATTGCTCAGTGGCTAAGGATAGAGGGGTAAGTCCTTTATCACAAAAAATGACGTCCTTATAGAGTGGATCATCCGATCTCACCAGGAAGTAATTACGGAGGCTGCACACTTCGCGATTATGCATGGTGAGCGCGCTCAAAAAGCCACGCCCACCATGTTTTCGCGGAAAGTACAGCCTTATTACCGACGATCTCGGATGATGCATCCTATGGAACGTCATAGTAGTGCGTACTCTTCTATCCAGGGTATTTAGTTCAGTCTGAGTCCACCTAAGTATGCCAAAGGTATACATGTGGACAGGCATGACCCAACCGTTATATGCGTGTGTCTTATTCACACCAGACAAAAGGCTGTTGAGCACTTTGGTCAAGCGTGCATAAAACACGCCGCAAACTGACTGTTTCATACCAGCCTCATCGATACCGATGTTCTGTGACACACCCAGGTATCGGTATGTTTCAGACGCGGAAAGGGTCCTTAAACTGATGGGCATAGATAAGTTTATGCCCTCAGAGTTAGCAACCTTTCCCTTTTCAACATGAAGGACCGCACACTTATCCGTCCCCAGCTCCATTCCAATAGAATTGCTAAATTCACAAGTGATGTTTAGCATTTCCACAAGTTGGGAGCGACTGGAGGCGAATAACTTGAGGTCATCCATATAAAAAAGGTGGGTCACTTTTGTACCTCCTTTCCGAAGCTGAAAACCAATTATTATTATTATTATTATGTGGGGGTATCAATATAGTTTTCTCATCTGGTTGGGTTCTATAAATATATAATTATAAATGGAAATGAAAAGATAAATATACATAAATAACAATAACATAAAATAAATACAAAAATACATATATAAATAAAAGCCCTACCAGATGGAGGCCCTCGGCAGAGGAGATCAAACGGCCGAGGGTTAGGGGGGAAAGGGAAAGAAAACGGCGGACGATGTGGGCGGTATCGAGGAGCACCGCCTTCTGCATTTGAGCCTGGAGCGGTCCGCCACGTAGTCCCAGCCGCCTCAGATGACCCGAGAGGCTGACTGGGATTAGCCCGTTTGCAGAGACGACTACAAGAATAATTTCGGTCGGCAGACCACCCCACATGTCGACCTCGTGAGCCAGGTCCAGATATTTTGTTTGCTTATGCTTATCTGTTTCGGCTTTCACGAGGTGCTCGTCATACGGAATGGTAATGTCGACCAAAAATATCCTTGACTGTGCCCGGTCCATCAGCACAATATCAGGCTTATTCACAAGAATAGTCCCATCTGTGATGATGGCCCGGTCCCAATAGAGCCCGGCGCGATCATTTTCGAGCACGGCTTCCGGCAAGTAGTTGTAATACGGCAATTACTACACCACACTACACCAGGAGCTCGCTCTGAAATACGGTTCCGATCCACGAAACCGTATTTCAGAGCGAGCTCCTGGTGTAAAATTCTGGCTACTAGGTTGTGTCTGTTATTATTATTATTATTAACTTTGGTCACAATCTAGGACTACATTACTTATTACGGCTTAAAAATTTATTTAACTGGGTAACTAAAACTGACTCTTATAATGAAGGCACTTTATCTCATCCCATGAGTTAGCAAAAACAGTTTTAGGGAAAGACCCAAAGAAACTTTTGGTATTATATCGTATAAATATATGACGACATAACCACTGTGTTTGTACTGGATATAAAATCTTTTACATTGTAAGTACATGGTTAATCCACTATTACATATCATCCCGTAGGTATACTAGTAAAAGGCGGTAGAAAAAACTGAACCAGGATATGGGCGGCATCATCTTCCTTTCAAACAGCTTGTGCACTGTGGCAAGCCTGCAATTAGTAGAACTGCATGATGCACAGTTATGCTCTTCCAGCTTAAGCGTAACTTAACCATCTACAACTTTGTAATCTCATCGGACGGAAAAGACACGTCACGGGAAGATGCGGCAGCGACGTAGCAGGCTGACGTAAACTCCTATATCCTATTTGCTAGGTCGGCAAATTACTCCAATGAATGTGTCGATGATATCAGCACAGTCTGAATTTCATGCGGTAGACTATTGCTCCAAATTAATCTAATAAAGTCTTTAGGAACTGAAGGACAAGCCTTCAAGTGAAAGTTTCCTTTCTCCGAGCTCTTCATGTGTCATCAACTGCTTTACCTTCTTTACTTTGGAAGCTGAGAGACGTTTGATCAGCTCTGACTTGATAAAGCGATTCTTAGCAGGAGGATTAACAATAATATCCTTCACGGCTTTTATATATCTGGATATCCTAGGAATGATTGGTTACTTCCGTGAACTTAATGGAATCGTCAGTGACGTTATACTTACCTAGCTAATTGATGCCTTAGCTAATAAGTGCGAACCAAAGTTCACCTATTTATTTTCGCGTTCAGTGACAATGAGCACCTCCGTCTCATATTGCTGTTAGCATCGTGGCGCGAGTCAACATATTTTGCGGAATCACTGCTATCACTCATCATAATCTTCATGTCCTTATCAGGGTCACTGGTTAGGAAGTGGAGGAAAAGTGGAGACCTCCCGCTTCGCTTTGTTTCCTAGTGTGTTAGCGGAGAAATGTTCTATATATAGCACAGTACTTAAATGCTTTGATAGCGTGATTTGGGCTTGGGTGCGTTTTGCTTGTGGCGCGACAACAGCGCCGCCACAAGGTGATTAAAAATAATAAACTCTTGTTGCCTACCCGCTCGCCAAGCTTAACAACAATAGTAAATATTCTTACTATGAGGTAATTTATGCGAGAGACCTATGTTAAGCAGAGGAGTTTTGATAGGCAATAAAATCTCTAGAATGGCTGGAACTTGAAATTTTACTGCTAGCTGTATGTGGAAGCTCAGGGTCACAGAGTGAGCTATGGACTTGAATATTCTTGGAGTATCTCTGTATTATAGAATTTATAATAAAAATATCTGCAGTGGAAACAGAGTAATTGACTTGTGATGGGCTGCTGTGATAACGATGATGGCAACGGGCGAAATAACGAGGGCGTCAATAGTACGAGGTGTCGGTATCCTATCTATCCTGCCAAGTGTGACGATTGTGGCAACTCTTTCTATATAGAAAATGTAGTGGACATTTTTATCTACATCCTTAGGCGGGAGTATATTTTTCATACAAGTATAAGAGTAACAAGCGATCTCAGAGTTCACTTCAGGGTAGTAGATTCTATGGTTCTTATACACCCAAGACAATCAATATAAAAGTGTTAGAGCTGATAGATAAGAATAAGAAGTACACGAAATGGTTGCGTTTGTTTTTCCTTGAACTTACGTCCTCATGGCCTTTCCTGATCAGATGGATCGGTGACTCCTTTAAAAAAGATACAAAAACCACTCCAAGCGCTGTCATGGATAAACAGACGTAGTTCATGATGTCGTATTTTAAATAGCCTCCCATGAGGTATGAAACGAGCATCCCAATATAGTAGAATATCATTGTGCCTGCCGTCATTCTCCCTCGTATGGAGTCTTGGCAGATCTCGCTGACATAGATTGGTACAACCATTAATACACCGCTGCAGAGTCCAGACAGAAACATTGCCGCGAGGATGGCTTCCACCTTGTAGCACACAGTTTTAACGATCCAAGTGACCTGTGGATAAAAATGCTACTTGAGTAATCATTCAAACGAGGATATTAATAGTTTTACTATTTATATCGATGAACGAGTATGTTAAACAACTTTCAAAATCGTTGAGTTTTGAAACGTTGCTTAAGACTTTTTAACAAATTTATTTTAATATGAATTATGACAAACTATCATACCATCAACCTGATTTTAAGTGGAAGCAGCGATCCATAGACAGCTAAATCTATTCTAAATTAAGAATTAAATACAGGTGTGTTAACAGCACTGAGGACTAAAATGGAATATCTCATTTTAAATAAATATGGCCTGCGGTGTTTTTTACTCGACATACGAAATGAAACACAGTAGAATTATGCCGCCTTTTCACGCTGGTATTCTGTGAGAGCGTGATCCTTTTCAGGCTGAGGTGACTCATTTCTGCTTTTTTATAGAAGAGGAGGCAAGAACGTGATCCTTTTCCGGCTGAGGTGACTCATTTCTGCTTTTTTTATAGGAGAGGAGGCAAGAGCGTGATCCTTTTACGGCTGAGGTGACTCATTTCTGCTTTTTTTACAGGAGAGGAGGCAAACGAGCATATGGTTCACCTGATGTTAGTAACTACCGCCGTCCATGAGTAATTCGAGCCGCTCTGCGCTCGATGTGGTCAAGTGGAAGGAGCTGGCACTGGGGAGCCCCAGCCCAGAGATGTGAACACTATTCCATGTGAAGCCGAACTTGCGCCTTGTAAAGTTGCAGGCAGTGTGCCAGCATGAAATACTGACCCGCTCTGCTGAGCAAGCCAAACTTTTTAGAGGCCAATTTGGCCTTCTCTTCCAAGTGACCACAAACCTGCTCGTCACTCTATATGTCGACGCCGAGGTTTCCGATACTGGCTGAGACAACCAGGGGAGTGCCTTGAATCTGAGGATATACGACAAAGGGGTTCTTTTTAGCGGTGAATACGTAAACTTGTGTCTTCTGAGGATTAAACTGGACTAGATTTATTCGCCCCCAATCTGGGACTTTGTTTAGCAAAAACTTGACTTCAGACACGTTTGTTCCGGTAGTCAGACAAGTTATCCCGAAAAATAATGGCATGGGTGGTGTACAGAGCGTCACCAGTGCTGTCATCCGCATAGCAATGAATGTTACCGGTTTGCAACATATTGTTACGAGCTTGAGGTTCGAGACAATAAAAACTGCCGATTGAATTACCAAAATTTACACTTTTATTACCGAACACCAATCAAAACTTAAAACACTAATAATTAATCACAGTGATTCACTTTATTTAGCTCCGAAGCTTCGCATGTCTCGCCAAATTCAATACTGCCTCGACCACGTCTTGCAGCGCCTTTCGCTGAAAAATGTTTAAATGTGTATTTAAACGTTTTTCACCGAAACGTCCAGAATATTCAAGTAAATACGCGCGCCAACCGACCAGGCGCAGAAAGTTCGAGTGTGGGGCTTCCAGACAGCCTAATTCTTCCGTTCGATACTAGATGGCGCTGTTGGTCGAAAGTCAAGATTTTTGGCATTTTAGGCATTTTCTAGGAAGCCCTCCTCGCTCTCGTCTCCGACACTAGATTGCGCTAGTGCCGGGTACATAACGTCAACTTAGGCATGCAACACTGCCCCCTCCTAAGACATGCTCGTCCCGAGCATTATCGGCTCCATAATAACGCGCCAGGCGATCCACATGGACGATCTTAGGAGTCCCTCTTGCGCCTTTCTGTAACGGCTCCGCAATGTCAAGGGCTGTCCTATCCCATGGTGCACCAACATTGTACAATTTCGATGCTCCTCTACTACGTGTCTGAGGCCCCTCACAGCCGCACAACTTGTACATGTGCGACACCAATCCTCGACATCGTCACCCCAGTAAAACTGTTCTCGGATCTTCAGTAGAGTTCGTTTAACTCCGAGATGGACTTCTGAATAATCGTTATGGTGCAGTTGTAGAACATTCGACACTTTAGCTTTAGGGACAACCATTTGCAAACGACAGCTGTCTCCTCGACCATTTTCCCATTTACGGCACAGGACTCCATCCTGAATCAGCAAGCTGTCCCATTGGGCCCAATAGCTTCCAGTAGTCGAATTCATCGCTGAGACGTTGCCCCACTTAGGCTTGGTAGCACGGGCCTTCATCCATTCTAGAATCGGCTTGATGTCCAGATCTTCCTGCTGTGCATGTCGTAGGCCGTCCTTCCACTCATTGCTGAGGTGGTCTGTCCTGAGCATCCTCAAGGATACCACTTCTTTACTCTCTTGCCTAATACAATGTTTGCAATCTTCAGGACAAGGTCTTCTTGACAATGTATTTGCGTTGCCATGAGATTTCCCGCTGCGATGTCTGATAGCAAAGTCGTATTCCTGCTGCTGCTGGGCGGTGATGTTAGCCGCACTTCCCTTCTGAGATCGTTCACCTTCCCTTTCTAGGAAGGGTTCGCTTAGGGCAGCTGGATCTAAGATGGCCCCTTTCTCCACAGCCATAGCACCTATGGCTGTATCCTTTATTGCGGTCGTGAACTGTAGCTGCTGCAACTTCCCTAAGGTGAGGGGAACGATGATCCTGCCACCGCCAGGCGGTGCCGTTAGCTGCACTACTCTCTCGCGATCTATCAACTTCCCTTTCTACAGTTCGCTTAGGGCAGCTGGATCGAAGATGACTCCTTTCACCACAGCCATAGCACCTAGGGCTGTATCCTTTGTTACGGTCGAGAACTGTAGCTGTTGCAACCTCCCTGACGTGATGGGAACAATGATCCTGTCGCACGGCTTCCACCTCCTGTGCATGGGCCAAGGTGTCCTTAAGTGTCTCGTGGTGCCCGAGCCTCACAGCAGCTCCGACTTCAAGGTCGCGGATGCCGTCGATGAATGTCTGCACCAGGTTCCCTTCAATGAGCGCAGGTACAGACCGGTATGCTTTTCGCACCAGCTTCTCCACCTCTAGAGCCCACTGCTGCAATTTTTTCGTTGATGCGTTGCACGCGATCTCTAAACTGCGCTCGAAAGACGTGTTCCAGGTGAGCGTCACCATATCTAGCCTCCAATGTCTCAAGGAACTGCTCGTTAGTCACTTCTTTACCGAGAGCTTCTAGAACAGTTAAGGCCTGGTCACGCAGGCCTAGTGTGAGAGCAGTCATGGCCTGACTTTTATTCCAGCCGTTTGCTTTCATGACAGCCTCGAACTGAATTTTGTCGACCATGAAAAAGTCCCGTCGAACGGCGGCACTTTGAACCCACGTAGCGAAGGTGTTGTAGCTACTACGGGAGCTGTAACTCCATACCCCATTTTGAGGTCGTTTAGCGTTTTCTTCACGTCAGCCATCACGTTCTCTACCCGATTGTTCACATGGTCGATTCGGGTTTCAGTTTTCTCGATTCGGGTTTCAGCTTCCGACAGGCGGTTGTCATGTTGAGCAACCTTATCCTTCACCTCCTTCATCTCCTTCCCGAAGGTAGCGTGAAGGTCCTTCATGAGGAGCATCTGCTCTTCCAACCGACGGGCCTGTTCCTCTTGTCCGCCCCGCAGCTGCTCTTCCAATCGGCGTGCCTGTTCCGCCTGCTGGCAGGCCTGTTCCTCCTACTGTTTTTTCAACCAACGGACCTGTTCCTCCTGTCGACGGGCCTGTTCCTCCTGTCGGTGAGCCTGTTCCTCCTGCTGCTCTTTCAACCAACGGGCCCGCTCCTCCTGTCTGCGAGCCTGCTCTTGCAGCATCACCATCAGAGCACCTAAGTCAGGTGCTGCAGATGTAGGAGCTACTAACGGGCCTGCAGCCGGTGGCTGGCCCTCCGAAGTATGCAGCGTTGCACCACCATATCTTCTTTGGCCCGTCTCCTGCTGGCGTTGACTTCGGGTACGGACACCCTCTGGTTTCTCCTTATGTAAAATCGGCATTATTTTATCCCACTTCTGTCACCAATTGTTACAAGCTTGAAGTTCGTGACGATATAAACTGCCGATTGAATTACTAAAATTTACGCTTTTATTACCGAACACCAATTAAAACTTAAAACACTAATAATTAATCACACTGATTCACTTTATTTCGCTCCGAACCTTCGCTTGTCTCGCCAAATTCAATACTGCCTCGACCGCGTCTTGCACCGCCTTGAAATATACATTTTTCACCGAAACGTCCAGAATATTCAAATAAATACGCGCACCAACCGACCATGCGCAGAAAGTTCGAGTGTGTGAAGTGTGGGGCTTCCAGAAAGCTTAATTCCTCTGTTCGATACTAGATGGCGCTGTTGGTCGAAAGTCAAGATAGACATTTTCTAGGAAGCCCTCCTCGCTCTCGTCCCCGACACTAGATGGCGCTAGTGCCGGGTACTTGACGTCAACTTAGGCGCGCAACAATATCATTGATATGACGGCGGCAGCATTAAGAAAGTAACCGCGATTTCAGCGTGAGTGGCATTCAAAGATTTAGAGAGTTCAGCAAAAGGTATAACAGGGAAGGTGCATGAACCTCCATATCTGGAATTTGCGTAGGCGAGCTAACCAGTTGTGTCAGTCCATATGTCAAGGCAAAATCATGAACAGATCTCCCTGGGACTACTATGGGACTTATAGAGGCACCCGTAGATGCGCGGATAGTTGTGGCTGTCTACGCGTAGCCAAAGGATGGACAGGTCTGAACCTTCAAGACTGACGAGGCGTCAAGAACAGATGTCATCTATGACGTATACGCAAACTTCAGCCAGAGGCACAAATGAGTGTTCCAGTTTATACCCCGGGTAGGAGAGATACGAAGCAACAGAGTAAACCTGCGTCTCGGTCAGAAAGAGCAGAGCGGTATTCTGTGAGATCGTGGTACCACCCCTCGCGTGGCTCTATCACTGTTAAATATGCCATAAACGCTGTAGCACGGCTCAAACACGTCTATTAATAATAATAATAATTATTATTATGAAAAACTATTCGTACTTTTACTAAGCCAATAATTGGTACTAATAAAACCAGATTAGAAGCATATTAGACCCTAGTACCTAGTAAAGTGTTGACTTAGTTAATGCGTTGTATTATTTTTCGTTCATTTATTACAGTCTATCAAATGCTTACTGTTAAAAATGATGAAAAAGGATGGATACTTGCCATATTTGCTACGCTTGGAAGATAGATTGGTCACCGCAGTTTTTTATTACTTTGAGTTGATAACAGGAAAATTTTGCTGCCCATTTTCGATTTCACTTCCCTTTATTAACTCTTCAAATTAGAGTTCGCTCCTACTATAATGTGTTGTATTAGTTTTGGAGGTATTGTAAACTATATCACTTTAATCCATAATGTTACTAGTAACCCTATCCATTTGGAAGGAGTTTATGACTTTTGAGTGTTTGTCACCTAGTGTTATCATCATTTGTGGTGCAGTGCGGTGTAAAACACAAGTGGATATCATAAGGGGCGTGTATGGGATATACCAAGGATCACTGGCTGTCAAAAGATAAGGTATAGCGAGAAGCAGCGTCGAAGAAAATGTTCTCTACAATTAGGAAAGGTCCGTGTTCAACAGTTAACTTGACTTGCTACTACTCTACCTCCTGCATTGAAGTTTTACATTTATAGATATTGTACGGTGAGAAACATTCAGATCCAGAACAATAATTTTTGTAGGCACATAGTTGATTTCAGCGAGTTTCTTTCTAAAATCCACTGCTCTTTGAGGAAACTAGTGGGATTGCTTTGCTGTAATATCGGCCAGGATCGCTTTCAAAATCTCTAAAATTCTTACTTTTTATTTTACTTACTACTTGTAACACCGAAATCAGCATACAACAATATTTTTTTCCAATAGTTTCTATAATGCAGCTGACGCACGGTAAGCTTATGAAGGCGCCGATTAAAGGCAAACTGCCCAAAAGAGCAACCTCGCTTTCCGTCATTAGTCTGTTGAGAGTAGTGTTCGCAGACGAGAAGAGCTTCAGAGTGGAGGATGGCCAGGCGACCATGATACCCAATGACATGCAGAGATAGCCAGCTGAAAAAGATAAGGAATATTTTGACGAGATATTTACTTGCACCCGCAGCGGTAGCGGGACCGCGACACGGGTATAATGTAAGAAATTGTGACGGCACATAATTAATAATAAATAAAGTCAATGTAAAATCGTCTAAAATAGTTATATAATTTAGTTAGTTCGACCCACAATGTCCGAACCCACTACTCTTTGAGTTGGTCGCTTCAATTTATTGGACATGCCTTAGATACCTACTGCAACTGGTCAAAATGCTGTGCCTATAGTAATGCCGTAAGAGTTAATTTAATTATATATAATTTAATTATATTTATAAAAAAATAAATATTAAAATGCATTAATAAGCATTAAGTTAAAAAAACATTAATTTCGAACATTAAGTGTTTGTGTAAAGGCATAATATTGGCCTTAATCTTTAAAATTACTAAAAATCTTAGAATTTCGAAGTGTATTGAACATTAACAAACAAGGCGATTATATCACACTAATAAATATAATAAACATTCATAAGTCTTATGTCCGACCAAAAACAGTTTGACTGTAAAACATCGTGCCAAGTACACTTTCAACTATAGTTACAAAACTTATAATTACATTTTTACAAAAAAATACAAAATGAAAAAAAAAACATGTACATAACCGTGTTAGATTCAAAACATTTTTTTTTGGAAAAATTAATAATACAAAATTGGTGTACTTGGTGTGCATGATTAAGACTTTCGATTACCAAACTTGACATCAATTGGAAGTCGTTTTTTTTAAACTTTTTTGAATTATGCTCATACTATAAAGTAAAATGCACACCAAGTACACCATTTTATATTACTACTTTTTCAGCAATTTTTTTGGAATCTAAAACGGTTATTTTTTTATAGGATAGGGTGACAAACGAGCACACAGTCCACCTGATGGTAAGTGGTTGCTGCGGCCCATAGACATCTACATCTATCTTCGATTACAAATCAAAATGCAGATGCGTTGTCACCCGTGAGGACTAAGATGGAATGCCTCGAATGGAATCGATGGAATGAGCTGACCCATTCGTGCTACAACTATACTACTAATATAACTGCAGCATGGCTCTACCAGGTATGAAATTGGTTATGTAATTCATCATTCATCATCATTACAGCCCTTCACAAGTCCACTGCTGAACATAGGCCTCCACCAAGTAACGCCACAAAGAACGGTTCTGAGCTACCTGTATCCATCGACTTCCTGCATGTCTTACCAGGTCGTCACTCCATCAAGTGGGGTGTCGCCCTACATTACGCCTACCGGTACGAGGCTGCCACTCGAGAACCTTTCTTCCCCATCGGTTATCGGTTCTTCGAGCTATATGGCCGGCCCATTGCCACTTCAGCTTACTAATCCGTTGGGCTATGTCAGTCACTCTGGTTTTACTGCGGATATCCTCATTTCTGAGTCTATCACGCAGAGAAACTCCGAGCATAGCCCTCTTCATAGCTCGCTGAGCGACCTTGAGCGTCGTCGAGTCTGCGTGCGAGACGATTCGTAATGACTCTCGAAAACAGCACGTAGACGCGGCTCAGAAGGGAAATCGGTCTGTAGTTCTTCAAGAGAGCGTTGTTGCCTTTCTTAAAGAACAAGACCACCGCACTTCTGCTCCACGCCTCTGGAGTAGTGCCACCATGGAGGACGGAATTGAAGAGCTTCTGAAGGACTTCAAGTACCTGTGTTCCACCCGCTTTCAGAAGCTCCGCTGTAATTCCATCCTCGCCTGGGGCTCTGCCGTTTTAAGGTGCTGGAGAGCCATTCTAATCTCGCTCAGACTGACGTTCGGGATATCATCGGAATAGTGTCGGGTAAGACTTGCTCTTGGATCCTTACTCACACTTGCGTGTGGCACCAACGATGATGTGTACATGTGCCCATAGAACCTCTAAATCTCACTCAAAATCTCAAGTGTCTTGGAAACGATGCTGCCACACTCAGTCTTCAGCTTTAACAGTTGGCCCTTTCTGGCAGACAGGTCTCTGGCAAAGACTTTGGAGCCCTGGTTTCACTCGATCGCTTCTTTAATAAGAGCAGTATTAAAGTTGCGTAAGTGTCGCCGCATGCATTTGGAGACCTGTCTGTTCAGTTGCCTGTATGCTGTCAAATTTGTTGACGATTGCAGCCTCATCTCCCGTCTAACAGCCATGAGATTAAGAGTGTGACGGGAGAGTTTTTGTGTTCTTCTGCGGCAGGTCTTGCAGAACTTAGCTCCGACCGCATGGACAGTTTCCACGAGCTTGTCATTCATATCGTCCACTGCATTGCAATCTTCTAGGTACTGAAAGCGGTTACGTAACTCGAGCTGAAAAGTCTCGGGATTCTGGATTAGAGCACGAGGGGGACGGAGCGTTGACTTCATTAGACGAGACCTCTCCAACTTAACGTTTAGGTTCAGTGTGCCTCTAACCATTCGGTGATCGCTGCCGGTTTTCACCCTTGCGATCAATGAGACGTCACTGAACAGTTGGCATCTGGTCGTCATAATGAAGTCAATCTCATTTTTTGTCAACCGTCGGGGCTCAACCAGGTCCACTTCCTGTGGGGCCGCTTCTGGATGAAAGAGTTCATCATAAAGAGTCCCTCTTTCTCCATAAAGTCAGCCAGCTGCTGGCCCCTACGGTTCCGTTGCCCTACTCCAAATTTCCCTAACTTCAGCTCACCGCCTTCTCTTGTGCCTACTTATCCGTTCAAGTCTCCCATCAACACCGTGTAGTGGGTTTTGGAGGAATGCATGGCTCTAGAAATATCCTCATACATTTCCTCCACCTCCTCATCGGGATGTACCGAGGTTGGTGCGTAGATCTGTATGACCTTTAGCGAATACCGTTTGGTGATTCTGAGTATCAGGTACGCGACCCTCGTCGACACACTCCCAATCTTTACAGCGTTGTTGACGAGAGACTTGTGGACGATAAATCCGACACCTCCTTGGGACAGATGGTCGCCCTCTCGGTGATAGAATAAGTTGCCGGATTCGAGGATTACCGTGTCGTCCCCCCTCTCTTCGGACCTCAGATAATCCAATAATATTCCAGCGCAACTTGTCTACCTCTTCTTTCAGCTCCAGTATCTTCTCGTCAGTCCTCAGGGTGCGTGCGTTATACGTTGCCAGGTCGAGTCGTCGTAGGTGGCAACCGAACCTCCACCGGAGATTCTTAGCACCCCTCCCCTGCCCTTTCGTTACCATGGTCGCCACCGTAGCCAGGAATAGCGGGGCCGCCGGGGACTGAGGGCCGTTTATTTGCGTCGTTGCTCATGGGGGGATATTTGCCATAGTTGCCACGCTTGGCGAGCGGGTTGGCAACCGCAGTTTTTTATTATGTTATTGTTGTTATTAGGAAGATGCTGCTGCCCATCTCCTGCCTGCCTCCCTCTGTCGCCTCTTACGACACCCACGGGAAGATATGGGGTAGTGGATATTCTCAACCGCCACTACACGGCGGTTATGTAATTGGTTTCTTTTTATTTTATAATTTTTTTAAATGTAATTATCAGTTTTGTAACTAAAGTTAAAAGTGTACTCAGCGCGAGTTTTACATCATTTCATTTCATCCATAAATTCCTTAATATCATAATCGCTAACAATATATCATCACCACGAAATTTAATGCGATACCAAACTAAAGTACGTCTCTTCCACGAATGATTGAAATTTTAAGCAAAGGCTCGTGTTTATGAATACTCGTTTTAGGTTTATCAACCATACACACAAACTTTTAAAGTTGATTATTGAATGTGATACAAACATAACACAAGAAGTACAGGGAAATCCCTATATGCTGTCGAAGTACCTCAGCTTGCTATTTTCGGCATTTTAAGTTGCCATAATAAAATCTATATCTAATACCCTATACTGTCGAATACTACCAGGTTTTATAAAACATCCACCGATCGTGCCGGAGGCTAAAATAAGAGGCCAATCTTTCCAAAATGGCAGGAACCTGCCACATATACACATTTTATACGTGGTAAAGCTATGCTGCATTTATATTAGAAGTATAGTTGTAGCACGAATTGGTCGGCTCAACCGGGGTAGGACCACGCTCTCACAGAATACCAGCGTAAAATGGTAGCTTAAGGGGACTACAGGAACTAAACGCAAGATTTATAATGCCTGAAAATATATGATCCATTGCAAAAAACAAAACCAGAAAAATATGATATTTTTCTGGATATATGCTAGTTAGGTGTTGTGTGGAAAATATGAAACATAGTAAAGTAATACATTTATTTAAATCGTGTAGTACATTGGATTATGAAATATATTTTTAATGCCTGGAGGAATTCACAAGATGCCATAGGTATTTGAAAAAATAGCTTTCGTTTGTGTCCATCATTAGATATTGATCAGAAAACTGCATACTAAGGTGTCAAAATTATTGCACTCAGACTTATTACTACTGTAGCGGCGCTGTCGTCGCCGCCACAAGCGAAAACACACCGAAGCCTAAATCGTGCTATCAACATTCCGAATCATAAACGGTATATATAGAATATCTCCGAATTATCACACGGAGCGTTGGCCCGCTCCCCGGGCATAACACCTTGCCCGGCGGGAGATCTCCCCTTTTCCTACTACGGCCACACTACTTATTCATATTTAAATAACTGAACTCAAAAGTCGTCATCAATAGTAAAGGTTCTTCCGGATCGGCAGTATCAATGGACGTTCCTCTGGACTCAATCCTTGGCCCATTCTTGTTCTTAATCTATTACCCATATATCTGGCCACCCGTATATTATAGATTAGATACTACCGATCCAGTGGGCCACAATATATCAAAATTAGCAGGCAGACTTAGTTCCAAAGCATATGCTGTAAGAAATATTGGAAGTCTCATCAATGTTGATACATCTAGATTAGTTTATTTTCGTTACTTTCACAGCGTAATGACTTATAAAATTTTGCTATGGGGTAATTCGAGTGATATTAAAGCCAAATTTTTTTATAGGATAGGGTGACAAACGAG